CCATGCAGCGGGGCAGGCTGCAATGCCCGCAGCCCCCCGGCTTACCTGGGTTGCTGGGTTGGACGTGATGAGACGGCTGGTGCTGCTGCTCTGCGGGTCTCCGGTAATTGGTGCTCTCCTGGGAGTTCCTGCGCTCCAGCTCAGCACCCTCGCTGGGACTCGGGCCCATCCTGCTCCTCTCAAACTCTTCGTGGTATTTTATCTACAGCGACAGGAGAGGAAGGAGAGGTCAGAGCACAGCTGGGACAGCTCTGCAGCGCCAGCCACGAGGCTGAGCCCAGGCCCCAGCAATGGCAGCAGCTCCTGCAGCCCTTCAGTGCCAGCAATGTCCTTCACCTCGTCCCAGCTCATTTCTTTTTGCCACCAAGGACGCAGCACTAGCCATCTCGCAGCCTCCCCAGCAGTCCCAGGGGGCTTCTTCCCCACTCATCTCCCCAGGGACATTTGCTCAGACCCACTTGTGGCACAGAAAGGAGGAGGTTTAAGTGTCCTGTGGGTGGGATATGCAATTTTTTTCAGGCATGGGTGAGATTCAAGACCAGGCTCCCAAGCCCACAGGCTGCAGGAGCACGGAGCAAAAGCACCTTTAGGAAGTCTCTACACGTGCCAAGTTTGGTGTGCAACTCCCCAGCCCACGGCCAGGTACAGCGGGCGCCGTGGAGGTACCGCTCCAACATCTACCCCCAGATTTCTCTTTAACTGAAGCGTGAGAGGGCTTCAGGGTTTTTCATTGAAGGAGGCTCAAAGCAGATACCACCAAACACACCAGCTGCATCGGACCGAGACTTCCCCTGCCACCACCAGCGGGCAGGAGGGAAGGGTTAACCCAACCGCCGGTGCGTGGGTGTAAAAATTAATAGCCACTTGTGTTAATGAATGCATTGCCAACGGAAAGCACCTGGAGCCCATTTGTCTGCTGGTTAAACAGTTATTTACTGAAGGGCACTACAGCAGGCTCCCTGCACAGGCAGGAGACAGAGCCTGGAGCAGAGCCACCCCCCTGGGAAGGAGAACACCCCGAGGGGAGCACCCTGCTCCCCCGACCGCTGCAGGCAGCCCAAGCAGGGACGACCTCAGGACAGCATTTCCCGATGGTCAGAGGCTCAGGCTTTGCGCTCCATTGTGCATGTCCACGTGCAGGACCGCATCGGCATCCTCCACCGAGGGTGGTTTGGGGCACCTCTGTGCCGTGGAGGTGTTCACGCCCCAGTGAGCGCTGCCGCGCTGGGCAGCCCCTTTTGCTGCCCATGTGCCTGCCCGGCACACCCTTGGGAGTGAAACGCTGCCTGCTGAGCCAGGCTTTCTGCAGGGAATGGGTCTGTTTCTGCATCTTTATTAAGTGGGTCACTGCAACCACAGGCTGGCAGCCAGATTGCCCACGGGGAAGCTGCTGAAAACTGCTCCCGTGGCAGAGAGAGGGTGAAGGGGGCAGAGCAGAGGGACACAGGCTGGTCTCATCTCTCTGCTGTGTTATTTAATGCCCCCAAACCTCCACAGATTCTCTCAAAAGAGAGTGGTGCTTTCCGTAACAAAGACCACAGCCCCACTCCATGGCAGGGAAGCTGTGCTCATCTCCTGCCAGCTCAGGCCCCACTGAGAAGCTGCCCCCAGGGAAAAATCTTCCAGCCAGGTCCGTTTCCCAAGCGGGAAGCCTTCCCCAGCCTTTGCTGTCCTGGGGTTTGGTGTGCAGATAACATCCCGCAGCTCCCCGAGGAGAGATCAGTACTTGCCAGAGAACTGCACAATGGGATCAGAAGAAGAGGGAATAAACAACCTCCTCCCGCCCTGCTGGGCATTCTCCTGTTTGTGTATGCGTGGGAGCTCCTGCGTGTGTGTGAGCTCCCACTGCGGGTGCAGGCACGGTCCTCCCTCTCCCCGCATTCCTGTAA